GAATCTAAATGCATGAAATACCATTTAAATCAGCAGCCATCAGATCAGCAGCCTTAATAACTTTGACTTGAAGGAAACCAACGTCACGGAGATTTGTCAGGGACCTTTTTAAACTCTGGAGAGACAGTAAGCAGACAAGAAAAATTAGGTTTGGCAAACCTGCAAAGCATAAATAGAGTGTTTAATTCAGCAAAAATAAGAAATCCTTCAATCTAAAACCAGATTTATGTGACAGCATAAGATGTTACCTCAGGTTCTCCGCAATACTCTTAGCCATAAAACCTTTTGAGCCTCACACCTTAAACCTTTTGACGATGCTAGTTGAGGGAGGCATCAACTAAATTTATTTATATTGCAAAACAAAAATTTTCTTTGCAAGTTTTAGGCATCAGCATTTTCCACTAAACCTTCAATACACTGTCAAGGCACGTGCTCAAAACAGTCCATACTTGTAACTGGGCTGCCACACAATTGCAAATGAATGCTTACCAAAGTACGCTACACATCACAAGCAAGCATCAAGTCACTGCAAGTATTTTCATACTTTTCTGGAATGAAAAGAAACCAGTGGCTGCAAATCTAACATCTATAAACTAGCATAGCACTTAAAGTGAAAGCTTTTGATAACAGCGTTTAAGGCAGACTGCAATGGGGTGGTGTCTCCAAAACAATCTACTATAGGTAGTTGTTCCTCTCTGTACATGATCAAGTACAGTTTACCAAATGGCTACAATCTGGACTTGTTTTCCCTTCTTGGGCTAAATTTATTTCTGTCACGGCATCTCTTTTCATTGCTAGTCTAGCTGCATGATCAGGTTGCATTTCCAGGCCTTAAATTTCTTAGATGTACACAGACACATCTGCCTAAAAGCAGCTTGTCACGAAAGAATGCCATTTGCTTAACACAGACCTAGCAGTAACCCATTACCAGGCACATACTGCCATCTCTTGGCCCTTAACACAGAGCGCAGAAAGGGCTGTAGGTTTTCAGGATGTCTTTGACTTAAATATTAAATATTTACACTTCAGTTCTTCAAATTTGTATTTTAAGCCCAATTATTAGTTTAGTAAATGTGTGTTTTCAGCCTATGTTAGGGTTAGATGTGATGTTTGCTCTACAGACTGACACAATTAAACAGTTTTTCTTGGCATGTTTACTAGCTTTAATAAACAGAATACAGCCACTCTGAGTTAGCTCACTGAAGTTTTGCTCTTTTAAAGTCTTGCCAAGGGCATATTTTCTGAGTTACTGTCGAAGCTAAAGGATGGAGTTGTGGAGGACAAAAGAAAAATAGAACAAAACCCCAAAACATGGATGTCAAAATGTTTTTTGTTGTTGTTTGTTAATGCACTGGATTATTTAAAAACAAGCTTAATGACAAACATGGTTTACTATGCGGAACGTATACGCAGCATCCCTCTAGACGCTATTAGCTAATCATTCAACAAGTATGGCATAAAATGCACCAAAATATTAGAATTAAATGTACATACTAGCCTAAATGTAAACTGTGGCATGAATACTTTTGTTTCAATTTGCTTCTGTATTACTTTACCTATATTAGTATCATTCCCCCAATGTAAAGACTTTTCCCATTTTAATATTTACGTTATAATTTAGACATTTAAAAAAAAAATGTAAACATATACAGTTACACTTGTGTATTATTTTCCACCTGTTTTCAAAATGTGTTGTTGGGCACTGAGCTCAGCTCTCTTAAAGAAATGTCATAAGAAAATATAGAAATAAATAGAAGGGGATAAGATGAAATGTATTCATAAATAAGTGAATCAATTACTTTTAAAACGGACAAAATAAACAAAGTAGCAGGTTTTTG